GTTCTCTTCTTGTAACAGGTTTTGGATTTTATGTAGATGAGCAAGGAAATATGGTGAAAAAGCCTCAAGTTAGTCAAATACTATTAATCTGAGAGATATAACTGCTACCTGTCATCCTTGTAATCATCATATGTTTACATGCACATGTGCTTTATTAGAATTTTAATGAAAATCATTTTAATATTCTTTATTTTTATTTTATTTGGTGTTATAATTTAGAAAGATATTTCACAAATGTCGTGTCAACTTTCGTGCTCGATTTCAACTTCACCGTTATCTTAGCCCATGTCCTCAAGTTTGGACCATGATCGTTTGTGCTAATGGCTAATTGTTTGCGCTAAATTTCAGTGAACACTTGAGCCTAACTTTGTTGTTCGACCTATGCTCAAGCTTGACTTTTCTCGTCTTTAAATTTAAAAAAAAAAAAAGCTTGACTTTTCTCTCAATGAAATCAGGCCCGTCTGAGCTTGAGCTAAAAGTAGTTGGTCTAAACTCTAAACCTAGATTTGTCTTTTTTAAAGAAGTTGATAGCAGATTAACTATATAAGCTGATACTGAATGCTTTTTTCATATACTTGAGGTTTTATGAGCTATAACCTTTTATTCTTTCAAGCCTATTTATCTTTTTTTTATTACTTTCATCTGCAGACCCTGAAGGCAAGAATAGAAAACCATGTAGAAATAGGTGCAAATACATGTATAGATAGGGGCAGGTGAGATCGATGCTGTTTTTGAATTCTTTATTGCTAATGTTTCTGAGCTTATCATAAATGCCACATCGTTCGTGGGCCATGCAGTTGGAGGGATACAGTGGTTGGAGAACATACAAAGATAGATAATTTAGTTCAGGTACTTTCCTACTTCTGAAGTTCTGACGAAATGGTCGGTTTTGAGACGGTTCTTATGATTCGCAATACAGATAGGTCACAATGTAGTGATTGGGAGAAGCTGCCTCATTTGTGGACAAGTCGGGGTTGCGGGATCAGTGACGTATGTTATCCTTTTTAGCCCTGCTTTGATAAAGAATGGAAAGTAAAACTCTTTTTGGATTTGATCAGCAATTTATTTAACTTTCTAGTTCAGTGAACTTTTAACTCTCAGGAATATACATTTGTTCTTATTTTGGATTAATCTAAACATCTGTCCTTCTGTTTTCTCAGTATAGGTGACTATGTAACTTTAGGAGGAAGAGTTGGGATCCGTGATCATGTAAACATTGCCTCGAAGGTAGATTTTCTATTTAACTGATGATCTGTTCCTTGACTAGCACCATTCAGTGTCATTCTATGCAAAATGATTACTCCATAACATACGTGTAATTATTTTTAATAGATTTTTCATATTATATTGCGTGAGGAAATGGAAATGCTAGAACACTTTACTTCCAAGCAAGAAGAGATCATATGTTACCTCTTACCACTATATGCATCACACGTTCTATTTGGCAATGCTTAGCTTAACATTATCATGTTAATTCATTGCTTAGTATTGATCTTAATGGACAAAGTTGAGAAGCCAGAAATGTCACGAATGAGTTGATTGTCACAATTAAAAGGAAGTTGCATTTTTGTGTACCTGTTCTCTTGCCTCAAGTTCGTCCTCCTTTTCCGTATGTGTCTTGAGCTAATGGATATCGTAGGATAAAAGACAAAAATTTGAGTAAACCACATTATTGTAAAAGCTTATGCAAGACACTGAGGGATGCTGTGAACCATAAAGTAGTTCAACTCGTGAATTCATCATGAATCTAGATACTAAATTTCTCACTGCATACTACCTACTTTTTCTGTTGATTATGAACATTCTATGCGGTTTTTCTGGAAGATAGTATGTATACATAATTAACGAAGAAACCAAATAATAGTGTTTTGATGCTTCAGGTTAGGTTAGCAGCTAATAGCTGCGTCACCAAGGATATTATTTTGCCCGGAGATTATGGTGGCTTTCCTGCTGTAAGGACTCTACCGTTGTTCATGGTTTCATCTAGTCTCTTCTGAAAAAATTCTGAACTTGTTTTTTCTTTATGATAGTTTGATAATTGCTGTGGCTAACTGCAGATTCCTATACGTGATTGGCGAAGACAAATTGCTAAACATCGTCAAATCTTGAAGTAAGAATTCTGCTTGAATACCTATCCTATACACACATCCACGATGTGAACATTTATTTGACTATGCATGTCATTTGATGTTCACCCGCCACCTGCTGGGACCATCTGAGGACCTATTGATTCCATATCACTTGCATATTCTTTTGATCATATTTATTGCTGAGCAACGTTATCCTGGATAGAGACTAGAAAATGAATTTGTACCTGAACTTGTTGTTCCTCTAGTCTTTATGACATTACATGCTCCTTGAAGGCAAAGAACTTATGTTTAAAAACATTTTATTATGCATTTATCGACAGGTAATTTCATATCTTTAAATTGGTCTTAATGCTGCACGCCCGATGTTAATTAACTGGGCTATTTAGGATTTGTCAATAGCTTCTGTCATATTCTCAATGTCAGTTAACAAAGTACCTTCCTGAGATTATCAAAGAACAGAACTAGTAAATCGACACACACTTTGAGCTTCTATTTAAGGCCTTGTTGCATGTAAAAACAGAATACCTTTTTGTATTCCTTTGTTGTTGTCTCTCTGTTATTTTTCATCTCTTTGTTAGTTGGTTCAACAGAGTTCCTTTAGTTCAGAAATAATGCACTTCAACTTTGTAGTCGAATACAAGCCTAAAAATGAGAACTCAATAAGAATAGGACAACAAGGGTCTATCGGAAACAACCACTCTACCTTCTACGGGTCTAATAGAATCAGTAAGGTCAGTGTACACACTACCCTAATTAGACCCCCCTTGTGGGATTACACCGGGTATGTTATTGTTGTAAAAAAAATAGTACAACAAATGGAAAATATCATAAATAAATGTTCCCCTTCCTAATTCATCAATAGAAATAAAAAGAACACCTCTTGTCCATATAAATAGGCAACAGTTTGCCATCTTGTCCTAGTCCAGCGGGACAATTAGCATGAAACCTATGATGTTTACTGTTCCACGACGAAATCTTAAATCTTATAGTTGAAGCTAATTCAATACGAAAAATCACTGCCCCCCTCGACCGATCATGCAGCATTTGCTTCCACTGCGACTCTGTCAATGTCAATGATGAACCACTAAGTGTAGTAGCAAACCAGGTGCTATTCTTGGGCTGTTGATAGAATGTTGTCAACATTTGGTACCTTCCAACGCGCTTTTCTCGATAATACACTGTCACTTGACTTGCATCATAGTAGATTCCAATACCTTGATTTGAATTCCTTGCTGTAACTCTGAAGCTTATGTGTGCATTTTCAGGTCCACCACCACCATCTCCGTGGCCTAAAGCAGGAATAGAGAAGTCGTTGAGGAATATTCGTGGTCGATGAGGACGAAGACTTAGCCATAAAATGAATGTGATGAGTCCAACAATTGCAAGAAGACCTAAGAATATAGTACATATGAGCTTTGACATTCTTGTGGTTAAACTTTCTTTAACCCAGTGAGCATAGTAGCTAGCACTATGGTGTCGCATTACAGGGCGTTCGTGATGGCGATGTTTAATTGGTAATGCTGGCCTAGGATGCTGCATTTTCTTTGTTTTTTCAAGTGAATGGAATTGATGTTGATCATGAACAGTTTGTAGAGTACATTATTATATAATGCAAATCTTTGGGATGTCATAGTATTGTTGAGGAACTTTATAGGAAAGAAAAGAATAAAGAAGAACTGGTTATGTGATCTTAGTGTATAACTAAATATACTTTCTTGAGAAGTAGTGTTATTGGATTCTTGAAGTTAGGGGCAAGTATACTTTGTTCAGTACACATGTTTATTCCTTCTCATAGAGATTATTCTTGTTAAATGTGGGGCGAGAAGTTGCTCGGGTGATAAAACATTTTGTTTTTATCTTCAATTTTAAGGTTGTAGCTTCGAGTCATCGTGGGAATTTCTAAAGAAATTTTCTTTCTTTATGTATAAGTTTTTAATTGAACAAGTTAAAATCCCACTAAACTATTAATCATTTTGCGAGTTTCATGCCTAAACATTCTCTTTTTTTGCTCCACCTTTTCTCCCTATTCATTTATTTTATAATTAAAAAAATCTCTGAAATAACTTAATTTTAATTCCTCATAACTCTATGCCTTTCATTTTCCCTAAATATTTAATGTGTACAATAACATACCAGTATAATCCTCAAAGTATTGGAGTGTGAGGAGAATAGAATTATACAAATTTTATTTCTACCTTATAAAGATAGATAGGTTGTTTTCGATATATCTTTGGCTTAAGTAAATTATTTGAATATTTAATGGCATAAATTTATATTGAGATTAGTTATATTGAAATTAATTATTTTTTACTGACGTCTTAGTTTGTTGCATTAAAAATAATATATATTGCATAATTTTTTAGAAAAAATAATTTACTTTACAAAAATATTCCCCACCTTATTTAGGAGAAAAAAAAGGCTCGAGGGACTTTTGGTGTATTTTTGTCATTTATAGAAATTTTGTAGGCTAAACTATTCTTATCTATCATATATGTGTATATATATATATATATATATATATAAATAAATAAATTCACCCAGCATAAGTTTCATATAAATGAAATTATTCGACATAAGTTGTGTAATATCTAATTTGTTTGACATAAGTTTAGAGAACTTTTTCTTACTCGACATAATATATTCTACATGGATTGAAGCTACGTCTTTTATGACATGACTTGTAGATTCTGAAACTAAAGTTTTGTCTTTATCAATACAAGTTACCTAGGAATTAGTATGTCTTTTTACCACATATATTGTGGTTTCTGAGCTAAACTTTTGTTTCTATCGTCAAGATTGTATAAGAATTAAGTGACGTAACTTGTATTATATTATGATTTAAAAATATAAACTTGTATCGATTAAACATTGTTTGTTATTTCGATGTCAAATGTTTTTTCATCCACTTAAAAAAAAATTTATTTAAAAAAATAAAAAATAATTATATTTGAGGACAACAATTAAAGAACCTTTAAACTGAAACATTGCTTCTTCCTCCTTGATGTGTGTGTGTATCAAGCAGTAATGGCCAACAAGTGTTTGAATTTATTCACATCCTCAAAATTTTGGTTTTAATGATATTAAAACATGGAATAAGTTCCAAAACAAGAGCAATCAATCCCATAACACTTACAAGTACAACATAAGACCATTTCCATCTATGATGTTCTTCTACCTTGTCAATTCCTTGAAATATATCTACAATTGTTAGGATTAACAAAGCATAACCTAAAATATTATGGTATATCACCCAATATTTCCTGTATACATTTTCTTCATCTGGCTGCAAACATATTGCCAAAACCTAAAAATGATAAATTAGTTGTGTTAATCAATTGTGAAATAGATGGGGATCAACATATAAACAATAGGTGCATATGCTTGTATAGATAGATATTTATCACAAAAAAAAATTAGTATAATTTTTAAGCATATATCATGAGGACTATAATATCACAATTAATCTTATATTATTTATATAAAAAGTGAAAGTCGTTCCTCTATATATCTTAAACTCAAACTATATACTGCATTTAATCCAATTTGGTTGATATGATTTTTAATTAGTCGATTCAGAAAAGAAAAACACATTTTTATATGTCCATAATGACAAGACATTTTTATAGCCGCACAAATATTATAATAATAATAAGTTTCAAAGCCACTAGTAGCTAATTATTCAATTTAACTACGGATGAGTGACCAAAAAATAAGCATATTATTTAGCTACGTGTTATTTAGCGATAAATTAGGAACAAAGTTGTAGCCAATTCCTTTTTTGATTCTTTTAGGTGAAGTCTTACAATAGTACAAATGTTATGGCATATTATAAACACCACAAACTTAGATCCTTTGGTGGCTCAGTGGTTTGGGCTTGAGACTTTCATGTTGGAGGTTTCAAGTTTGAAATATAATAGTCAGCGAAAGTAAACGGTTTACCTTCTAGGTCGAGCTTGTAGAACCAGACTTGCCTTAGTGCGAGTGACTTAAGGTTTTACTTTATCCGCACCCAAAGGGTTACATCGGCGGGTTATAATAGAAGTAGAGGTTGTGCAACATAGATAAACAATATCAGAAATGTTTGCATCTACGTACGTCCACGATATCTTAAACTCAAGTATATACATATGTATATTTGTAACAAAAAAACATAAGTTACATATATAGATAAAAAATATTAAGTGATACATAATCAACTAACGATCGATTCTGAATCCGTCTATAAAAAAAAAATTCAAATTAAAGAGTAATATTTGTGTCTTACTTGGATAGTAGTGAAAGTGAAGATTATGGTGCCAATAATTCCATGAGTACTCATCATAGTATGTTGATCTTTGGGTGAATTTGTCATCATTGACAATCCAAGACCCCATCCAATTGTGCCCAAAATGAACCCTGCTACCTTTGAAACAACATGAAGAGAATACCATTCTTCACATTCTAATAGATGTCTCTTGTAATATCTTGCAATTATTACACCTATAGGCAAGAGGATTCCCCATCCAAAAATGTTTACAACCCCATGTACCTTCCATAAAATATAACAAATGAGATTATTTGTCACAATTTTGAGTGTTTAATGTACATGAAAGAAATATTGTTCTAAAGACATTTGTGTATAATCTAGGCAAACATTATACGAGTTAGGATAATGTGGGGTCAGGGTCATTCAGTAACTTTGACTCAAATGTTGTATTTTTTGTTAAGAAATTCACTTAATATTTATAAATTTTTGATTGTGAATCCAATTATTATTCTACATCAGCTTAAGGTAGTCATAGAAACTTATAAACTTCAAATTTTGGATTCGTCTCTGGCGGGAGCTATGGGGGTTCATGGAGTCATTTGTTAGGGTATTGGAGAGTAGGCAATCAATGTGGAGTATTACTTACATATACAAACATGCTATTGGCTTAGTGTTAATACATCATGAAGATTGAACCCCGACCCTTTAAAATTAAAATCTGAAATTCGCCTCTGTAGATTAAAAATAAAACGTGCAAAAACGAGGTGCTTACAACTCGAAGTCGATGATGATGACGTTCATGTGCAGGTCTCAAGTTCCATGACTTGAAATCTGTATTTACTTGTGTATCATTTGATCTATCAAGAGAATTGTGATGATGTTTTTGGTGGCCACCATAGGAATAAAGCTTTTCATGAACAAAAATAGCCTTTCTTTTGATCAAATTGGAATTAGAGTAAGCATATGTTAAATCTAAGAAAAATATCATAGTACAAAGAATTATGAAACGCATGCTAATAATTATAATATTGTGCATATGGAATATATTGTTATGTACACAGAAAATTAAAGTCCAAGACATGAAAAACAACTTGTATTTATAACTTCCACAAATCTAACTTTTTGTATCTTCATACTTTATTTTACTTTTATAACTTTCATTAAATAAAAATAATAACGTATTCAGTGAAATCTACTAAGCGGGGTTTGATAAAAGTAGAGTGTACGCAGGTTTACCATTATCTCGTGAAGGTAGAGAGCTTGTTTTCAAAAGACCCTCGACACAAAAAGGAGAAAACAATGATTAAATCATACCAGTTAATAAGAAAAACAATAGAATGTCTACGAGAAAGAAACAATAATGACAATACAATAGTGTAATAATCGAAAAAACACAATTTTCATTAAACACTTACATGTTAAAAAATTGCGAAAATCTCTACCTTCACGAGATAGTAAAAAAATCTATATATATTTCATGCTTTCTAATCGCAATTGTAAATCGTTAAAAAAAGAAAAGTGTGTCCCATAAAAGCGACAATATATGTGTAGCACCGAACTATACTTTTTTTGGTTGGAATATATTCTTTACTTATGACAATAGCGTTAAATCTGTCAAAAACTTTATACTATGATTTTATTCTAAGCTTGAGCATCTTTCTGTCATTTTCTACACCACTTTTCAAGTTCAATTTAGATGCAATATATAAAGAGAAATTTAAATTTGATTTTAGTTAATAATTAGTAAGTATTTGAATTTTTGAAAATATATATATTTAGATATTTTAATTTGATTGATAATATATTAAACAATTCCATTTGATTTTATTGTGTCTCGTGGATATTCAATATTGATGTGAAATATAATTTTGAAGGTATTTTAATGATCATTCTGTAAATTAGAGTGCTTATGATGAGTCAAGGTGCATGTCTATGTATATAAGTTAATATTATAATGTTTATGTGTCAGCTAAAATTAAATATGAATGACATAAATCATAATACATAAATGTGTTACGTAATCTGCCTTTAACTGACATTTATAATTTTCGATTTTAAATGTGTATAAATAGACATTTAAATTTGTATTTTTTTTGTCCAACATTACTTGTCCACTATTAATTTTAATTTGCACACTTTAATATAAATAAAAGGATAATTTTACTATATTACCCTTTGAATATAATAAATATAATGTGTTGAAAAATGTAATAGAGATATGAATATAATTAATGATACGGGTATAGCGACAGGAAATATAAAATTGAATAAATAAACACTCACTCAGCACAAATTTTTTAATTTTTTATAGTAATTCAGTAAATGGTCGGATAATTTGATAGAATTTGGCCAGAATTTTAAAAAGTGTATAATATTTTCTAAATTTAAAATAAACTAATCTTTTTATATATTTTTAATTTAAAAATATTAAAAGGTAAAAGTGTTTTAAAAAAATATATAAAATATCATTCTGACCAAATTTTCGGACGAAAAGAATTTTTCCAATTCATTATTACCTGAGCATCTGCCTAAATTTTGACAACATGATTTGAAACTTTTAAGTTCAAACACCGATTTTGAATAAAGTGAAAACTAATTATTCTGAAAATTAAAAAAGAAAAATTATCATGGCCATTAAAATTGAAGTTGTTTGGTCATTATTATGTTGATGAAATTTTGTACATTAACTGTAATTACTCGATTGTTTGAATAGGTTATATTTCCATTAATTAGTTAGCTTCAAAAGCAAATTTTCTCCCTAATAATGACTTCTTTTTTTAAAAAAAAAAAGCTCTTAATAACATTTTTTCAGTTTTGTGTTTAGTCAAACATCCATACCTTCTATAAAATAAAACAAAATAATTAGATGGTATATAGGAGGAAGAGATAGTACTTAATTAGAAACAAATGATATTGTGTTAAAGCACCTAATTTAGGTTAATTATTTGAATTTATGTCTAATTAGTATAGACCACTCCACTAGCAAAACAAAAAGTCAAAACTCCTCCAAATTAAATTCAACTTAATTAATTTCTCTCTATAAATAGTCTTTAATATCTTCCTTCTAAATTATCCACCCTTTCATCTCTCTCATTTCATAATTTTCTCATCCTTTCACAAATAGCCATAAAATCATGAAATTCCTTTTAATTTTAGCCATAATTATGGCATTAACCATACCAATTACAACATCATTTTCATTCACTGAACCTCATTACAACATTCCATCATTTCCAACAATTGGCCATTTTCAACCACAAATACCATCTTATGATGATGATCACAAGTTAAAAATCAAAGAAATGTTTACACAAATGACATGCAATAAGAACCCTATGAAATGTTGGGCCAAGGATAGCCCAGGCCCATTTTGTTGCAACAAAAAGTGTGTAAATGTGTTGATGAACAAACAAAATTGTGGATTTTGTGGGAATAAATGTAAGTATAATGAAACTTGTTGTAAAGGGCAATGTGTTAATACTTTGTTTAATAAGAGACATTGTGGGGGTTGCAACAACAAGTGTCAAGAAGGAAGTTCTTGTGCCTATGGAATGTGTAGCTATGCTAATTAATATCATCGAGGGTTACAGTGGGATGGATAGAATTTCTCAAGTCCTATAGATGAAAAATATTCTGATAAGTTATGATTTTTCTTTAACGTGTCTTACATGACGTGAATCTTGATTAGTTGATGCACATCATGTACTGGACACTGAATAGTTATTTTTTTTAAAAAAAAAGATACAAAAAATAATAATACTTTGATTCATTAGTATTCCACTCGAAATATTAATTAATTTGTTGATTGTGTAATAAGTTAAAGTAGTCTTTTGTTGATTTGCTCATTCTATTAATAAAATTGATTATTGCTCTTTACAGTATCTATAACACTAGCTAATTTTTATTTTTTTTTGATATTGCTCCATTATTTGTTATAATGTTATTGACTTTCTTTTAATTTGGGAATTAACTTCATATGATCTCCCCATGTACAACAATAAGAAGTTTCATATTCATTTAGATTAATGTTTTGTATATTGCATATGTTAGGCACATACTTTATATAGATAAGATTTTCAATTTTAAAAAATGACTTTTGGCATATCAAAAAACACTCCAAATCACATAAAGAGAATTAAGGGCATACAATAGTCACTTGAAATTAGGTTTTAGTATTCAAAATCACAATAGCAATCCTTATTAATTCAAATAAAAATGACTCTTTATTTTTTAATCTATAAAAAAAATAAAAAGATTGAGTGAAGAATCATGTTAGACATTTTATATTTCCTGCTGATTTATGTGATCCATTACATTTTTATTTAATCATATCTCAATACGTTCTATTTATGTTTTTATTTTTTTCCATGAGCAGAGCACATTAAATTTTTCTTCGATTTTATGTTGTGGCGAGACTCAAATTCAATTTAAGTATTAGTCCGATATTAAAATATGTGATCATTTAATCTAAAAATGCAAGTTATTACGGGAAAAAACACTTTTATGTGATAATATTTTCATAATAATTCGTTCCAAAAAGATTGACACACTTCTATATTAGTAATAGGAGTCCTCATAGCGTTCAAAATTATCACATGCATTAGGAATATTAGCACTAGACATAATCATAATAACTATAACAACAACAAGAAGCCCAGTGTAATCTCACGAATAGGATCTGGAGATCGAGGAAATTGTGTACGCATGTCTTACTCCTACCTTAAAAGGTGGATATAGGTTGTCTCTATAGAAATATTGATACACTTAAGTTCTTTTAGTGAAGTTTAAATATCTATCATGATCACTCAAGAGCATGTCAAGATTGAGTGCTGTGGAGACTGTCAAGCCAACAAAAACAAGAACAGAGAGGGCAGATAAAAGCAACATCAGCCCATTAGCAACATGACCTTCCACTTGATGTGCATATTGTGCAGAGGCTAAGGCAAGGAATGTTAGGGGAAATGAATAAGCCCACCATGCAACATTGAACTTTCTCATTGATTTCTTGAATAGTGCTGGCCTGCAAACCTAATTAAATCATGACAAAAAAAAAACAAGAAAGTTATATTAGATAGATGTGTATGGTAAGTGTGACATATATAGGGTGTACACAAAAAATTTCGTAAGCGATGTCAATATATATGAGTTTCTATAACGAGTTTAAGTTAGTGCAGTTCACAATCAAATATTTATAGATATCTAATGGAGAAAAAATTATTGAGTTCATGTGAATCCTATACTATGGATCCGCCTCTAATCACATACAGATGTTTATGGTTTATATATGGGACCCTACATTCCAAAAATAATTATTGGTTTCTAAACTTGGAAATAATTTAACATAAACTTCTCTTTTGATTCATAATGAGAAACGTTTATACCCACATAAAAGTTATGATATGCATATTTAACATCGTAAATTTTAACAATTTTATAGCCACGTGAATACTACGCCATGTTTAATGCCTACTAGTTTCAAAAGTTTTTATTTTTTTCTCAAACTCTATCTAGTCAAATAGGTTCACACAAATTGAAACAGTTGGAGTATTAAGTATTATATAAAGAGAATATATAGTGGGATCAAGACTACTAGATATGGGCATTATATAAGGGGCTATCCCTTTGATATATTATATGAGAATAATACTAAGTAGTGTGTATAAGTAACAATGGATCGGAATTAATTATACTGAGATTATTCTTATCCACTATTTGTTTTGGTGTATTTAGGGTAATTCTACGTGTATTAATAGTCCTTATATTATAAATACCATAATTTTTTATGTATTAGTTATACATCATATATACATATATAGGCCGAAATTTCTATCAAACAACTAACGGTGGTTAATGAGATAGGTGAACTTCTTATAAGGCTTGGGCAATCCTCCTCCCTTTGAGCTAGCTTTTGGGGTATGAGTTAGACCTAAGACCTAATTTAACACTGTACCAAAGCAGCGCGCGTCTCATCCGATATTGGGGCCCACATAATCAAATTGCCAACGCACCAGATGCTAAGCAATGCGCGAGTTGGGGTGTTAAAGAATGACAAAAGACCTACATCGGTGGTTAATGAGATGGGTGGACTCCTTATAGGGTTTGGACAATCTTCCTCCCTTTAAGCTAACTTTTGGAGTGTGAGTTAGGCCTAAGACCTAATTTAAGAGAGAGTAGTATAATGCATTTAATAGAAGGTAGTAAAGAAGAAAGAGTAGTTACCAAAGATGTGAAGAGAAATAGTGAAAGAAAAAAGAGCATCCTGCATGGCATATCAAAATCCCCAGAAATAGAAGCCCATGCTAAGCTAGCCATGCTAGGTGCAGCCACAAACAAGAAAAATGTAGGTCTAAGCATGGCAGGAAGACGATTACTACCCGATAATCGTTGATAAAGTGTTACAAACACAACTAAATAGTGTGTTAATCCAAGTGTAAATATACATATTGCACTCTCTTTCCATTCCATTTTGCTAGCTATCCAAGCACCAACCAAATTTCCCAATACAGAAAGTTGGCTTGTTGGATTTGCAACCATTGACAAAAACCTCTTTTCAGTAGTAAACCATTGTCCATATATTTTCACATCAAGAATCACCACGGGTACAACGAATATCCACCATACAAATTGACAAGAATCAAGATTTGGGATTGTGAATGGTATTGATTGAAGCAATAAAAGCCATGATATCCATGGTGCAAATAGGTAGTTAACACCAATTGGATGCAAAAACTCAGACTTCACTAACTTGAAGTGAAAAATGCATCTTAAGATATATAGAAAAGAGAGTAACATAAGTGTACAAAGTGATATCCACCATAGTAAAAGGAAAGTTGTTGAAGGGAGTGAGTGAAATTTGTGTTGAAGTGTTTGTGATTTGTCCAAATGTTGTGTTAGTACTTTCCATAACAAAGTTTGACCACCTAGAGAAAGGCTAATTCTAAAATAGCCTGCATGAAGTTTAGTCAATGGGGAAATATTTGAAGAAGTTGATTTCTTGGTAACATGATCTTTAGTAATATTGTTATCATCATCACTTATTGTGACTTTGATTGTTGATTCAAAAACTTGTTCCCCCATTGAAAAAATTGTAATGTAAAATACCAATTGAGTACTCTTGTAGGAGAATATGTCTACATTTGTAATGCTTATTTAGGGGTATATATAAGAGCTAAGGAGTTCATTTAGTGACGAAGCAAAAAAAAAAGTTCAAAATTATTTCCGACCTATAGTATAATTTTTTGAAAAAGAGTGTTCAACTGTCCATCTTGCATTATATGTGGCTATATTGTTACCTTCTTTGATTTGTCAAAAAATTACATTATATATATAAGGTCAAAATTATATATATTTTTTATGTATATAAAGTAGATATTGAATCTCTTTTATTTCTAATATATTTATTTTTTGTATATTTTAAATTTTTTTAATAAAAATTCCAACTTCGCTACCGTCGTAAATAAATGACTTTAGAGATTAAAAGTGCACTCATATAATCCAAGATAAGTAAAATTAAATTAGTAAAGCAAGATGCATAGTGTGTGATAAGTCAGGATCATTTATGGGGGAAATAAAGTAAACATCCTTTGTTAGGTCACTTAGCTGTATTATCGTGCATTTTATTTTATTATAAAGATTTAAGTTATACATATTGCATGCTATAAATTTACTTTATTAATAGTTTGACTTAATATAAAACATTTACTTTCCATCTTGTTAACCAATTAATGTATTATGAGATTTAAATGAAACTAAATCTTTTAAATTATCAAATTAATATAATATAATATAAAAAAATTGGTTCATTAAAGCATTTATTTTCTCTTTAAATAAATTACTTTTCACAGATTTGAACTATTCTTATCTAGTACAGAGTCTAGAATTCATTTAGACATTAAAAAAGAGAACAAGGGGAAAAATATATCAAAAAGTTATTTAAATACATGACTTATTTCATTATATTCTCTGCTATTTGAAAAATTTATAAAAGCTTTTTTTTTTCCGGAACTTCACTCTTACACAATGTATAAGGCGATGTATCAGAATGTATCAAGACATGTATGTTCGATATCAACAAAGTTAATGTATGAAAACGGTGAGCGATATGTCGAAATATATGTACTGTCTTATACCAGCAAAGATAATGTATCAATATACTAGGTATAAAACATTTGAATGATAACACCTCCAAATCCACCCCCAAACAAAAGGAAAAAGAAAGAAAAGCAAAATGAACCACAAAAGAAGGTAAAAAGGAAGGGCTTTTTAACCTTTAGTCCTAAATAATTAATATATATGCTTTTAATTTAAGACGAAAATGTGCTCAACCACCACATACTTAGCCTAATTTTTTGCATTAATAGAAAATTAAAATGTAATTAATTCTCTCAGTCCCTATTTACTTGTCCATGTTTATTTTTATATTTGTGCTTATTCACTTGTCCATTTTAACAAATCAAGACAGAACAACAATTTTTTTCTTAAAATGCCCTTATTTAATTCTAGAAAATCTCTAGTTCTACTAAGTTGTAATGCATGTTTTTTGGAATTAGAAAATACATTTATTGTACTTGGAGAGTTGCATAATCTTTTAAGTTAAGGATAAAATTGTAACTAACCTATGATAATAATTGATGCCTTAATTTGCATGTCACTTCTAAAGTGAACAACTAAATAAGGACAGAGGGGAGTACTATAAATTCATTATAATGTTCTATTACATAGTTTAAAGCTTTAACCCAATTGTACGAATGGTCTTTAATTATGTCAAATTGATTATGTTTTTATGCTTCTCGATCAGCCACAATGTTGTCCTTTACTCCTTTTAACAATATTATACAACACAACTTGAATTAGGTACAAATATTTTAAAATTTGATACTCATATTTAAAAGGTGTATACTAAAAGAAAGATGGAGCAAAACTAAAATATGTATATATGTTACTATATTATGTATATATGCATGAACTCAACAAAGTAAAGCACATAATTATTTGGTTTTGGAGACTCTTAGATGTGCACTACATGGTTATGTTAGTTTTTGAATAAACCTAGAAAGATTATTATGGAAGTCTTGAAAATGAAAAAAATAATCAGAATTATTACAATATAATTCTCTAATTCAATGTACATATACAAGAAAAAAAATGGCTTTGTACATATACAAGAAAATGGTTTCTTATTTTTTTTTCCCATTCTATAGTGCGTGGAGTATTTTATTGAAGAGTTTAAACTTTTGGATAAGAAAATTTGAGAAACTTGTCGGAACGTAGACTTGTGTCGCCTCGGTCATGTATGTTTGGTTAAAATAACCTAGAGACACTCTTAATATGGTGTAACATTATTTGTGTTGAGTCAAGCTCGCTTAATTTTCTTCAAAAGACCTCACAAAGTCATTAGGAATATCCTACGTCTTATGAATAAATACATTTCTTTTCAACTATCAATGTGGATTTTGTTACAAGTTGATAGTTAGATTGTCCTTGTTATATGGGTTGGAGTGTTGGTCAGTCAAGAACTCGCATGTTCAAAAGATGCATGTTGTAGAGATGGAGGATGTGTAGGCATACTAAGAGGACAAGATTAGGAATGAGGTTATTCAAGAGAATGTAGGAGTGACTTCTATGAAGGACAAAATGAGGGAAGCGAGACTGAGATAGTTTGAACATGTGCAGAGGAGGTGTGCATATGTCCTGGTGAGAAGGTCGAGAGGGTATGCAAAGGGTAAGGATAGGGCGCAAAAATATTGGGAAGAGTTGATTAGATAGGACATGACACAACTTCATATTAGCGAGGACATGACTTTAAAGAAAAAGAATGGAGGTCGCGTATTAAGGTAAAACGCTAGTGGGGATAGAGTATTATATTGCCTTATGAAGGTTTAATGTCTACCATAGAACTACTCTTGTCCTTATACTTGTCATATGTAGTTTATTGCTTTTCAATTGTTGTTATAATTGTTTTTTTTTAGACTTTACACTGCTTTTCTTTTTACTCACTATGCTTTTCTCCAGTGTTTTCCTTCTTCTTTTACTTGGATTTGATATACTTAAATCAGGATACATTCTCTCTATTTCTACAAAATAGTGATAACGTATATATACACTCTATTCTTCCCAAATTTCACTTTATTAGATTTCATCAAATATTTTATTATTATTGGCATAATATAAACTTTGTTCATATACCCAACAATATAAGAGTCTCAAAAGGGATTGTGTCCTAGAATAGTTACACTCAATGCCTTAATAAACTGTATATTAATAGAAGGATAAATATATTGTTTTATTCAAGATATTATTTATTTATTTAAGTGACTTGCATGTCTAAGCTGAGTTAAGCAGCTTAGGACATTGAGAAAGTGGAGCAAGAAACTACTTTCTTTATATATTTTAGAGGACCATCAAAATAATAGTTATCAAATATCTATTAATATATGATATACATATATAATATACATTAATTATATTAAATAATAAATATTTTTATTTAACAATCGAATGCAATTATTTTAATCGATCAGCAACTTTCCTACTATCATTCATAGCCACCAATACTTTAACTTAATTATCAAACCTTAATTAATTGATTAATTATCAAACCTTAATTAATTAATCAATCTTCATTTAGTAGTACTCACTAGCTACTCTACACTTGTACCTCATTGGATATCTGGTAGACACCCATGTTAAAGACCAAACAAGATCACACTTTAATTTGTGATGATAAAATTAAGAACAAAAAAAAAACTAATATTTAAGAGAATTGATAATCTTACTTTAGTTCCCTTAAAACTATTTCTTTAATTGTTTAATATTGTGTAGTACATGCTAAAAAACAAGGCAATGTATTGTTTAATCTTTGCATAATTAACATTTGGCATCCTCTCTAAGTGAGCAACCACTAATTATACATCTTGAGTCACTTTTGTTTGTGGTGATGGTGGTGGATAGGTGGTTGATAATTTTAAATTTTTGATTTTGTAATAGGTAAATGAAATGTTAAATATTGAATTTTTAAAGTTTGCTTTAGTATGAGAGATTAAATTTCGATATAAATTCTAATATGATAATTCGATTGTTATGTATAGAAGAAAAAAAGTCATAATTTGTCAAATAATTATGTTTTTGAAAAATTACAAATGAAGTCGGTTGAATTTTCACTCTCAAATATTTACATAATGATTTAGATGTACAAGTCGATTAAGATATATATCTATACCAATCACTTGTTACTTCTTCTCATATATATGTTAAACAAATTATTTGAAGTTGGATGTTCAGTATTTAATTCAATACTTTTAAAATTTAATTTTGTAAGTAAATAATTAAAAGTAAATATCAAATATCAAACTTTAAACTTCTTATACCATATAAAATAATGTAATTATTTACTTATGGATCAAATGCAAGTGACTAATGACGTATTTCACAAAAAAGCATTTGCACTTTGTAGTTTTATATATATATATATATATATATATATATATATATACAACTA